CTGCCTTCATAGGTTGGACAGTCTGTTCGATGCTTCTATGACTCTGGTTCTATTTTAGTTGATGATGTTTGTTTTGTATAATTAAGAACTTTGTGCTTTTTAAAAGGGGATTTAGGATAAGATCAGTAAGTAAGAAGGAGTAGGAGCTCAAATCACTTGCCTTCAAATCCATCCACCAAACACTAATAGGAACAGTTTTGCCACCACTGTTTTCAGATTGATTGGCTTATGTAGGTTTTAGATCTGGATGGAGAAGTGGACTGTAAGTTGATTTTTTAGATATGTGGAGAAGTGGACTGCGACTGCAGATAAAATGTTTCCTGCATGATCTTTTATTTCAATTATAGAGTCCCATATATCTAATGAAATAAGCTTTACTCTTTTTTACCATTTCAGCCAGTTTTTGCTACTAAACTGAGGATCCACGATACATGTGGGGTCCATAACCTGCATGGCTTACCTGGTGTGGTAGGAGGCCTCGCAGGCATTGTGGCAGTGGCCTTGGGAGCATCTGACACGTGAGTGAAACAGTGGGTTTTCCTGCCTCCTCTCCCATCATCCAATAATGTTTCCTCTCACTCTGTGAAATCTAGTGATGAGAGAGTCTGTTCTTTAGCAGTCCAGGCCAAAGCTATAAGTATTGTCCTTACGGAAAAGAATAGAATTCATTGGAAGATGTGTTAATATTATTAATGTTTTGTTTTGTGGTGTGTATTTTTTTGTGTAAATTAACAGTGCTAATTTAAATTTATATACCATAGACACTGTCTTCTAGTAAATAGGACAATTTGATCATCGCCATCAGATTATAGTAGGGTTACTCTTTTACTTGATCCCAGAAAAACGGGGCATATGGGGCATATGTGATGAGCTCAGCAGTCGTTTCCATCCAACTCACACAATTAAGAATGAGTCAGCGTAACATGGAAAGCAGTTGGATCTGGAGAAGCAGGAACACTGGCGTGAGGCTCCAACTTGTCTACTAACTAGTTATGTGGCCTCTGACAAGTTACCCAACCTGTATCCTCTTCTGGTCCTGTATCCTCATCTGTAAAACGAGAGAATTGTACCATTTGTTCTCTAAAACACCTAGCAGACGTAGATTCTTCCCAAAGGGGGCCTAGGTGTTTATTTAAATGGGCAGAAGAATGGCTATAAATGAAACCCAGGAGCATGGAAGTGGTATCATAAGCCATCAGGTGTCACTTTTAGGAAACCATATTGAAGCAATTTGATATGAGTATCATCCATGCCAAACAGCTAGGAAGATCACAGAGTGCAGATCACTCAGAGAGCAAGTAAGGAGGAAGCAAAATGCTCAATTTTTAAAGACCGCTCAAACCATGAAAAAAGGCGAATGTGCGTTTGAAAATGTCTCCAGACAGACAATAGTGAAGTCAAGGCTTGAGGGGTGGAGGGGGGAGTGGGGTAGAAGGGGGGGGGGGGGGGAGGGAGTCACTGGGGAGGAAAAGGTGGACATCTGTAATAATTCCAACAATAAAGATAAATTTTAAAAAAATAAAAATAAAGAAAATGCCTCAACATTACTACTAGCTAGAGTTGCATAATTTGAAAAGAAAAAACCTCTTCAATTTTAGCAGATTAACATTTAACCCTATTGAGACCAATAATAATAAATATTTAAAAAACTTGCTTATTCACATTTCCTACCAGATAAAATGTTTCATTCTTCCATTTGTATATTTGACTGAGTTTTCTGTATGTTTTATTTTTTTACCCCTTTTACAAATTTGGAAGACATCTCCAAAAATATGTACACATTATTTCAGTTCTCTCCAGCACCTAACAGGCGGTTAAGACCAAAACTAAAGTGTTTTCATGCTTTAAATCAAGCATGATAAAAGCATGCATCAATGAGTCCAACTCCTAGGGTTATTGTGTATAAACGTTACACTCTAAAGAGGTGCCTCATGGTTAAGAACAGAGGAATTATTGAGCATCATTCCTAGACCAGTCCCACAGACGCAGTAAAACAGTCTATCTGGTTCATGAGCTGGGTCTGACTGGGTGGCCAGATTTGGGGTATGTTTCAAGGTTGAGAGTCTAGTCCTTGGGTCTAGGTTTAGCAACAACTCAATTTACTCAGGAGGAGTTGTGGCAGGGAGGGAAATTATGGAAGGCCCATTCAGGTAGGTAAAACTCACACCCCCCATGCACCAGATCAAATATTTAGTCCAAGAGCCAAGACTATTAACCCACATTGTGTCTCTTCAGAATACTAAAATGCAAATCAGGTTTCTTGGTAAGCATAGGACAATGAGAAGTTAATAATGCTGTTAACTTCTTTTTAAACAGCGTTTTTCAAGCTTATTTTTATCATGGAACACTTTTCATCAAATATATCTTTTAATATCTTGTAAAAGATCTTGGCAAATTCTGGTAAAATTAACAGTAAGCTTACAATAAAAGAAAGTCAAACAAATAGGTATGTATTAAATGTTAAATTTCATTAGTAATCAAAGAAATTCAAATGGAAACGTTACCAATTCTTCAGTTATTAAATTGACAAGATTAAACAAATGACAAAACAGAATGGTAGCTAAAGTAGAGAAATAGGGACAGAAATGTACAACTTTGAATTAGCCCATGTGTAGTTTATTAACTTTTACCAATAATCTCATTTCTAGATAAATTTCATTTTAGAGAAATTATTGGGCAAGTTCACAATGTTCATAAAAGGATGTATTCTCACAGCCTTTAAAAATACATAAAACACTGAAAGCAATCCAAATATCCCGCCTATAGTTGGATAGTTATAGTACATTTATACAGTGTAATACTCTGTAGCAGCTAAAATTATGATCCATATGACATTTACTGACATAAGAAGATATTGAGATCTAATGGGAACATTAGTATTATAATATGATTGCATTTTATAAAACTACATGTTTAATATTTTATACTGGTAAAATTTGAGGGAAATTAGTTTCCCTTATTTTTTAATTAATGTTTTTAAAAGTATTTTTATAATGATTATGTATTATTTCTATAATTTTTATACAGTAGAAATATTTAAACCCTTTAAATAAACAAATAAAAAGAAATCTTAATTTAGTGCATCTTTCCCTTAAATGATGAAGATGAAACACCAGCACACTCTCATTTTCCAGTTGTTTACTTTCATACAATCACTCCTTCAATCTTTCAAAAAGTGTTTAGTGATTGCCTGCTAAGAGAGGCATGTGCTAAGGAGATTCCTACATTTCTAGTACATTTGTCATTCATGTAACAACACCTTATGCATTCCAATAGCTTACTATTACAGTCTTTAATTTCCAAAGTTGAAGTATATTTTTTACACATTTCATTTTAAGGTAACTACTTCTAAGATGACATATAAAGATATGCTGTAGTGTCTTTAATGAGTTGTCGCTACAATATTTGCTAAAATGAGCTTTTTTGACCTTACTGACTTTTTAATTTCATTGTGATTGTTACTATTGGGATGGGGTAAGGAGAGATAGAAGCTCATATTTGTTGTATACATTACTCTATCCTCAGTGCCTAGAAGGGAAACTGGCATGAGGAGCTCAATGAATACTTGTTGAATGAATCAGATCATGTATCAAAACCCGATACCAAGTTTTTCAGAGAGAGAGAGAGAAAGAAAGAGCTCATGGACATGGAAAACAGTGTGGTGACTGCAGGGTGGAGAGGTATTAGTATAGGTGGAAGACGTAGTGGAGGGGATAAATGGTGACGGAAAAACTAAAATAAAATCAGTAATCATAATAACAGAAAGCAAGATTTTAAATTTTATTTTATTTTATTTTATTTTATTTTATTTTATTTTTTTGCTTCCTAGGTCTACCCCAGTCATGCAAGCAGCTGCCCTGGGTTCTTCCATTGGTGCAGCCCTTGCTGGAGGGCTGATCACAGGTCAGCATAAAAATCAACACTTCCCCGTAGCTCATGCTCTCAGCATGATAGATTATTCATAAACATGTCGATTGGTAAATTTGAAAATGTACTAAACTTCTGACAACAGTCATGTAAGTGCAAGGGGATGCTTTTATAACAGTAATTACTTTAATGTAAATATTTACTTAATTACTAAGCAGGTACGTTTTCTCATCAGCATCAGTGTCATAACATGACTTATTCCCACATTCACAGGTTTGATTCTAAAGTTACCCATCTGGGGACAGCCATCTGACCAGAACTGCTATGATGATTCTGTCTTTTGGGAGGTACTGTGCTCTGTTCTAAATAAGGATGTAAATGATGACTCCACTAGTGAGTTTTGTTCACCTCAAGCCTAGATGTGTGTATGTGCATTTGTGTGATGAAATTAAGTGAAATACCATTAGATAGAGAGAAATTTAGTCAATGTATGCAGACAGATAAAATCAGAAGTTATGGTATTTTTCAAAGCAGATATTATATGAAGAAAAGACTGAAGCGAGTGTTCTTTCATTCCTCTGAGAGTTATTTAAAAACCTACTCATTAAAATAATAGGAACCCTGGGCATGAAATTGTATAACATACAGAAGCATAGGCAAAAGCCGGTGGAACATAAAAGGTTGGAGAATCTCAGTGAGTTCACAATAAGAGGTTCTGTGAATAACAAAACATCAACCTCTTTCTATCCTCCGATTTCTACCTCTTTATTCCACTGTAAATAATTTTCTCCCAAATTATTTCTGCAAAGCTTAAGAGTGAGAGATGTTTGGGTGTGTTCAGCAAGATTTCTGGGGAGAAGAGACTCAGGAAAAGGGAATGCAGTCAGGGTGGGTGCGGTAAATGTTTTTGTTCTTTCCTTTTTCCCCAACATTTTTTATAACCTATTCTTTCTAAGCATGGAAAATAATTACAGAAAATACCTTGTTTCAGTAGTAATCTCTGACAGGCCCAATGAAAGAAGCTTATAAAATGTCCTAACTGTGTTTTCTTTCAAGGTCCCTAGGTGGAGAGAACATGACCATCATTTCCATGAACATCATGGCCACAACCACTTGGAACCTGAACTCTAAGTTTCATTCCTCTGCCTCAGCTTCCTTTCCCTTCATCTAGAATCAAGTTTAAATAGATAAAATGCATCCAATGAAAATACGGACCAGAATGGAAGATCCTGACCTGCAAATGTTCAGTGTAAAAATGTCTTAGCATAATGTTGTGTTTTCTCTTGATATCCACTGATTGTTTAGTTGAGGGCATATGACTCATAAAGCAGATGGTCAAGCCTGGCCAGTGTGGGTCAGTGGGTGAGCATCAACCCAGGAATGAAGAGGTCACTGGTTTGATTCCCGATCAGGGCACATGCCCAGGTTGCTGGCTCAATCCCCAGTAGGGGACAGCCAGTCAATGATTCTCTCTCATCATTGATGTTTCTATCTCTC